TCCAGGCCATTGCAGTGAATAAGTTATTGCTTTACTTTGCTGTCTCCTAGCAAACACAGACAATACGCATGAAGAATTTTGGGGTACATTTTTAAAATGACATCCCTTTGTATTTATTCAGAATGAAAACCATCTAACTCACGAATTTCATTTATGGCTGGTGACAGATCCCATTAACTGCTGGATTGTATATTTTGAGAAATGGGGGATTATGTTTTGAAAAGTGCTTTGTCCCTGCATCTGAAGGTGCAAAGTGAATTCTGCACAGCACCTAGCAGAACTTAATCTAATTAAGTCTGCAATCCCCTCCTACACTGTGACTAAATTCAGGCTCCGTGGCTTCAGCATCAAGGCAGATTTCTCTCTCCATTCCCTTCCCGGCTTGTATGATTTAACACCCAATCTTCTGAGCCATTCTAAGCACTTGGGAACCTGTTCACTATTTTTGACATTTTGCTTTGTCTTATTAAAGGCACTGCCCAGCTGTGGTTTGTGAAGTCTCGTCGCTGTAATCAAACATGCATACGGTTCTATTTGCTCCCATGCAAAAATTAGCTGCTTAGGAAATGTCACATGAACTTAAACTGGCCCCCTATTGGTTGTAAGTGACATCACAATGGTCTAGTCAAATTCGGGCTCCTGGGTTTTTTCCCTGTAAATCTGAAAAGGCTACACCGCCCTCTGCTGGACAGGAAAGAAATAGCTAATTCCAATGCACAAATTCTACAGGTATACAATGCACTCTATCTAGAACACAGCTTCCTAAAACTTTTTCCACCCCTGACCTCAGAGAAATTCTTATATGACCCCGGGTATATAGGCATATAATAAAATAGGTATAAAAACCAAACATTTACTGATAATAAACCAGCATTTCCAAGGCTTGCCAAATAGGTTGATTCCTTTTTATGAAGTACAGCTGAAGTATTTTCTGCAGGGCCCGCTATAAACATAGGTATAAAAACCAAACATTTACTGATAATAAACCAGCATTTCCAAGGCTTGCCAAATAGGTTGATTCCTTTTTATGAAGTACAGCTGAAGTATTTTCTGCAGGGCCCGCTATAAACATAGGTATAAAAACCAAACATTTACTGATAATAAACCAGCATTTCCAAGGCTTGCCAAATAGGTTGATTCCTTTTTATGAAGTACAGCTGAAGTATTTTCTGCAGGGCCCACTATAAACATAGGTATAAAAACCAAACATTTACTGATAATAAACTAGCATTTCCAAGGCTTGCCAAATAGGTTGATTCCTTTTTATGAAGTACAGCTGAAGTATTTTCTGCAGGGCCCACTATAAGCATAGGTATAAAAACCAAACATTTACTGATAATAAACCAGCATTTCCAAGGCTTGCCAAATAGGTTGATTCCTTTTTTTGAAGTACAGCTGAAGTATTTTCTGCAGGGCCCACTATAAACGTTGCATGCTGTTGTTTTAGAGCAGGGGTCCCCAAACTTTTTTAACAGAGGGCCAGGTCACAGTCCCTCAAACTGTCGGAGGGCCGGATTATAATTTGAAAATAACATGAATGAATTCCTATGCATGCTGCACATAACTTATTTGTAATGCAAAAACACTGAAAAGCAATACAATAATTAAAATGAAGAACAAATATAACAAATATAAACATATTAATATTTCAGTGAGAAGTGTGGGCCTGTTTTTAGCTGATGAGATAAGATTGTTGTTGTTGTTGTTGTGTGCTTTCAAGTCATTTCAGACTTAGGTTGACCCTGAGCAAGGGCCGGGTAAATGACCTTGGAGGACCGTATCCGGCCCCCGGGCCTTAGTTTGAGGACCCCTGTTTTAGAGAGTAATGTAAATGGTTGGCATTCAGAAACCTTTTAATGTTGTCAAATTTTTCATGACCCCAGCACTAAGTTCAAGGTTAGGGTTGTGGGTTTTGTACATAACAACACGACCCCATTTGGGGTCAAAACCCACAATTTAAGAAGCAGTGCTCTAGAACAGGGGTCCTCAAACTTTTTAAACAGAGGGCCAGGTCACAGTTCCTCAAACTGTTGGAGGGTCAGATTATAATTTGAAATAAAACATGAATGAATTCCTATCCAACTGCACATATCTTATTTGTAGTGCAAAAAAACTCACATAAAAACAATACAAGAATCATGAAGAACAATTTTAACAAATATAAATTTATTAGTATTTTAATGGGAAGTGTGGGCGTCCTTTGATGAGATAGGATTGCTGCTGCTGTTGTTGTTGTTGTTGTTGTTGTGTGCTTTCAAATTGTTCCAGACTTAGGTTGACCCTGAGCAAGGGCCGCATAAATGACCTTGGAGGACTGTATTCGGCCCTCGGGCCTTAGTTTGAAGGCCCCTGCTCTAGAACATGCTCAAAAACATTTTAACCTGTTTGTTGGAAATAGCAACCTTCCACAAGCCTCCTATACTAGTTATTTGTTATGTATAGAATTGAGATTGCTTACTATAGTACATATGTAATATTGTTGTGGATTTCCCCTTAACTCTATGTTGTTAGACGTTGTGGGAGGGACTACAGACCATGTGACCCTGATCTTAGAATGTCCAGAGTGAGACTCCATTTTAGAATCTGTTTGAATCAGAAGTCAGTTGGAGTCAGTTAAGTCAATTAGAAGTCAGTTGAGGCTTGAGTCAGGTTGGAAGTTGGAAGTCAGTTGATCTCAGTTAGAGAAGGAGTATAGTCAATGAGATGTCAGTGAGATGTCAGTTAGAGTATGAGTCTGTTTGCATCAGAAGTATAGTCCAATTTCATGTATTATTCAGTTAACATGAAACCAATAAGCAATGTACCTGTATGCTAAATACATGAAGTTTGTAAGTAAATCAACTATGACAAACTTTGAATGAAGACTTCTTATTATGATTTAAAAGCAATATATTTTATAGGAGAGTAACTATATTTTTGGGCAACTGAAATAACATTTCTGAAGATCTGCTATATATTTTGTGCACTGGCATATGTTTGTTTCTAACAGTTCAAAGAGATAACCAGGGATATCAGTCTAACAGCTGAGAAACCAAATTGTCTTGCATGAATACTAGGGGATATTTACCTCTAAGGAGAAGATTTACTCAAGTGAGTTTTTAATTCTTCTCAGAAAGACCATACTTTACCAAACATTGCAATCTCTAACAGGCTCATGCCTTTTCAAAGGTTATGATAGTGTGAATGCCAATCTCCAAAGGGGTCATGTGTCAAAAGCCTGTGGGGATTCCTGGCATGCCTTCAATTCATTTCTGACTTATGACAACTTAAGGCAACCTATCAGGCTTTTAAGAAAGGTTTTTAGGCCTTTAAGAAAGGTTTTTAAGAAAGGCCTAAAAACCTGGCTCTTCTGGCATGCCTTTGACAAATGAACACAGACTCCCATACTATGTTCATCCCACTACAGATCGGTCCTCCTGATGCACTTTCTCTCATCCCTTAGTGAATGTCTACCCCACTGTTCGTCCTTTCTGAATTCTCTCTTCAGACACACACTACTCCTTTTATACTACACCCAGGGTTTTATCAATTTTATCCTATGCATTTGGCCCACCCACTTTGTTTTTATTTTTCTACCATTTCATGTTGTGTTTTCTTATTGTATACTTGTTACTGTTTGCATTTTATTTTGATGTTATTACTTGTTTGTTGTATTTTACTTTGCTGTATTGTAACTTTTGGGCTTGGCTTCATGTTAGCCACATCGAGTCCCCTCTGGGGAGATGGTGGTGGGGTATAAATAAAGTTGTTTTTATTATTATTATTAGTAGTAGTAGTAGTAGTAGCAGTAGTAGTAGTAGTATATGATAAGGACTTTTGGTCAAAAATTGTTCAGAGGGGATTTGCATTGGCTATACTGACCTCTGCATGTGCCTTCACCAATGCACCAATGGTGCCAACTACCATCACCATTAAGAATAACAATATTAATGCTCACTAATACATTCTTCCATCTTGTATCAATTCTGATGTTTTCACTCCTGTCCAAATACCATAATGCAGCTAAAGCATCCACAAGGAAAAGTGCATACTTTAAAAGGTGGGTCATTTATCTAAGATGCAGTTCTTTGACTCTTGTTCCTGCATGATACAAACATGGACCGTATTTTCTGAGGCTGTCTACTTTCAAAAAGGTACATCTCTAGAAATAAGAACTGCAAAGACACTTGAAGGTGCCTAGGCAATGTGATCAGAAATCACAAGATGCCACTGAATGTGACTGAGGTCAAGGACATGGAGTGCTATTGTGCATGATAATTACAGATAAAAGCACACTTCCTTTCTGCTATCAAGGTAATTAGGAAGAGCCCCTCAATGAGCTTTGATCCAGCTCCATGAACTGTTTAGTTTCATATGTGCATCAGCTTGAATTTTTTCTTCTTTTGACGAAATCAATTTTTCTTTAAAAAGGCATGTCTGAATAGAAAGACAGTCTTATTTCTCATCAGTCAGCAGTTCTGGGTGCCATTTTGTTCAAAACATTTTGGGGTTGATGTAAAATGCTTCAAATAAGCAAGTGCTCACAAATACTGCAGTTTCCTACTTCTGCATGATGACAAATAGAATCAGGACAACTTATTGAGTTGACCTTGGGATGCAAATGGAATAATTATTTTTGCTTCAGTACAGTCGTTCACAACCTGTAGGTCCCCAGATGTTTTGGCCTTCCATTCCCAGACACTCTAACAGCTGGTAAACTGGGTAGGATTTCTGGGAGCCGTAGGCCAAAACACCTGGGGACCCACAAGTTGAGAACAATGCTTTAGTTGGAAAAGACAGTTCCACCTCCAAAATATCTGAATCAGGATTGAAATCATTCAGCCTTCTAGATGTCGTGAGTCTACAACTTTCAGGAATCCTAATCAGCATACCAAATGGTGAAGGGTGCTGAGAATAACAAATCAGCTACATGATTCCCACTCCGGGTCAAAACAGACTTGTTAAACATACTCAGGCAATACAATAGTTGACAATGCTAGTATAGAAAATATTTTCCATACCTTTCTGCTGGAAAAGTGGGCATGCTTGCCCAGTTTGGTATTGAGAGCCTCCAGGAACATCCCATCTGTGACTTTTCCAACATTCATGCATGCGTCATCCAAATTGGCAATAATCCCTTTATGCTGCTGCTCCACCAGATCAACAATGATTTGGTTGTTGAAGTAGTCAATCTAAAGAACATTTGGCAAATCAGAGTAGGAAGACATCTTCCTTCTCAAAAGTCCTATCTCAAGTGCTTCATGAGTCTTTAATTCACTTACCTCCTCAAGGTACTAAAGAGCTCACAGTTATGCACCCTATCTAGGAACTGATAATATAAATGGGAAGAGTAAGCATCAGTTTAAGTATTCTTCAGATCCACATATCTAATCAAGTACTTCCTCTTCCACTTTGTATTCACTGACAACCTATGTTCCAAATTTAATACAGATATTTCAAATATATTTTAACCCATTATAGAAAAGTTTTGATTTTTTTTGTCGTGTCAGGAGCAAATCGCTTCTGGTGTGAGAGAATTGGCCATCTGCAAGGACGTTGCCCAGGGGACGCCTGGATGATTTGATGTTTTTATCATCCTTGTGGGAGGCTTCTCTCATGTCCCCGCATGAAGAGCTGGAGCTGATAGAGGGAGCTCATTTGCCTCTCCCCGGATTTGAACCTGCGACCTGTCGGTCTTCAGTCCTGCCGGCACTGCGCCACCGGGGGCTCCTAGTTTTGAAATGATAGTCTAAAACTATAGCAATGGAAAGGATTTGTACCACACACAGGTGGGAGGCCTGGGTAATTTGCGATACTATTTTTTCCATAAAGTTTTGCAGAAGACTTCACTATCACCACTCCTTTTACTTTTCCACATGTGTTCAACCTGGATTAGAATTTTGTTTAATTGGGGATGTTATATATTGATGTATAGAAGATAAAGATATACTGTGGAAATTCAAAGCATTGTATAAGGGCACAAAAGTTAAAAAATCAAAAACAAAATGACACATGAGAGAATGCTACTGGAACATGGCCATACAGCCCAAAACACTTACAGCAATCCAAAATGATATTTGCTAGTTTCATGTGTATTCATCCTGAGTCAATACTTGATAAAAAGTATCCTTGGCAGCAATTACAGCTGTGTAACCTCTTGGGTAAGTTTCTAGCAGCTTTGTACAGCTGGGTCCTGCAATCTTTATCCATTTTTCCTGGCAAATGTGTCAGGATGAATCAAAAACAAAACTGATGAATAGCAACTTTCAAAACTTTTCACAGATTCCCAACCTTATTGAGATCTGGACTTTGGCTACACCATTTTAGACATTAAGGAAAAATTTTAAATCAACTGTGTTATTTTGGCTTTGTGTTTAGAGACAGTGTCCTGCTGAGGCTTGAATCTGTGCTCCAAATGAAAGCAGAATGTCCTCAAGAATACTTTGTCCTCAATTCTGAGCAGTTTATCAGGTCCTACTGAGGAAATACATCATCACAACCTGATGCTACTTTACCATGGTAAATGTGTTCTTAGGACAGTAAACACTGCTTGGTTTGTATCACACAGAACACTTTGTAACAAGGCCAATTTTTCCAATTTTGGTCTCACAAGACCAAAGAATTACTGGCAATGATCTTCCACATGCCACAGGCTGTATCACCATGAGTGGAAAAAAGTTGTGTGTGAATACTTATGTAATGTGCTATACCTTGCAGTCTCTTCTAAGCTTCATATAACCAATACAGATATAGAATCTTCTGTTCCTCTGAATTTACATTATTTGGCAGACCTTGTGAAACTACTCACATGCTTCCAGGGAATCCCTTCACGCTGATACTCCTCCTGCTCTTGTTTTAAAACGAGCTGGATGAAGAGCTGCTGCAACTTTTCATTGCAATAATTAATACAGAATTGTTCAAAACTAAAAAAAGAAAGGAAATATTTTCAGGAAATGTACAGTACATCGATTACTGTTTTCAGGAAATGTGCAGTATTTTAACTACTGTTTAATTTTTCATTCAGCCTTGTTGTGACATCTCACCTGTTATTATCAAAGATCTCAAAGCCGTAGATATCCAGCACCCCAATCACTGTGTTCTTCCCATGAACTGTGCTGTTGTAGTCCTTCACTGCAATCACATCATTGATGTGCATCACAATCCAACAGAAAAGGCGCTCATATATTGCCTTCAAACCAAAGAATATCAAGGATCATGTTTGCTCTCTTTTTCACAGATCAGACTTAATCACAATATGTATACCATACCAGGATGTAACATCAACTGAAACCCAAAAAAGTTTAAGCAAACAAGCTGTTAACTTGCACGCTACAGCTCTCTTTTGCTGCTTTAGATTAATTGCTTTTAACATGAATTTTATTTATAAAGGACAGTTTTCAAAACAATCAGCATATCGTAATCTAAGATCATCCAGGGAGGCCCTGCTCTCGCTCCCGTCAACAGCACAAATGCATCTGGTGGGGACGAGAGACAGGCCCTTCTCGGCTGTGGCCCCCCACCTATGGAACACACTCCCAAGTGAGGTAAGATCCGCTCCCTCCCTCTTGGCTTTCTGAAAAAAAATCAAAATCATGGTTCTGGGACCAGGCCTTTGGACAGTAGATGTATGTCGCATTTTAAAGGGACATTGACTGGAACAGCGATTTGACTGACGAGACTGATTTATTGTTTTAATGATTGTTGGTGTATTGTTTTAATTGTGATTTATGTTTAATTGTGGTTTTACTATTGTAATTGTTTGTATTGGCATTGTATTGGTGCCCAACGTAAGGCATTGAATCTTGTCATTATTTATGTGTAAACTGCTTTGAGTCCCCTCAGGGGTGAGAAAGGCGGTATATAAATACTGTAAAGAAATAAATAAATATCAAGACATAGAAAATCCCCAATTCTTTCCTGAAACATTAGTATTTCATTTCTATAGCATCCTTGGTGCTTTTCACGGAAATGAAACTACAAACAGACGTGTGTGTGTGCACACCATCTCTTCAAATATATAAATTGTTGTTGTCTTCCTCAGTGACTCTTTGCAATCTATGCAAATTATATCAGCCAGACTTCTGGAATTTTAATCACTTCCTAAGTCTTAATGTGTCTTCCCATCCTGGAAGGCACAGAACCTCTCAGAAGGAACTTCCAAACAGCCCTGGGACTTGATTACTTGTGGCAAGTAGATGTTAGTGCTTCAAAGGTTCCTAAGAGTGTCAAATGACTAACAGAGATATGTGAACATACAGGGAGAACAGGATTCTGACAAGTAATTTTCAGGATATATTTTCCAAGATGCCTTTGAAGGATAAGTATCAACTGCGAAATGCCCACAAATAATTCAAAATGTTATACATAACCTGTGGTGAATAATGTACAACAGGCTGTATACAGCGTTTATGGTTGACATTTGTTTGTCTTAAAATTTCCTGTCATTTTGCATTGCCCCCTCTGCAAATAACCTGCTTCTTCTTTTATCTTACCTGTGTTTTTAATCAGTTTTTAATTAGTTTTTAATCATTTTCTTGCACATGTAGACTGCCCATTGTCATTGCAACTATGTTTATTGTAATCTTATATCGTTACTGTATTCATATATTTTATGTAATTACGATGTTATTGTTTGTTGCATGTGTTTTTGGTTTTATTTTGCTGTATTTTGTTGTTCGGGCTAGGCCTCATGAATTTATTTATTTATTTATTTCTGGCATTTGTACCCCGTCTCTTCTCTACCCCTGTGAGCCACCCCAAGACCCCATTGGGGAGATGGTGGTGGGGTATAAATAACGTTTATTATTATTATTATTATTATTATTATTATTATTATTATTATTAAAAAAAGAATCCACTAGATCAGTAGTTGTAGAATTTACTCTACGAAACACAGAGGCATTGAACCAATTGTAAGAAGAAGACACAGTTTAAAATGGATAGGCAAGGCTCTGTATTCATTCACCTTTGCAAATGCATCTCTGCCATAGGTAGCCTCTTGTTCTGTGTGCTGCTTATCAATAACATCCCGGCCAGTGGCAACTGTTCGAAAAAGCAGAGCCTTCTCCACCATGTCAGCCTTGGTTGACAGCAGGTCCGCAATGACAGAGACCAGCTTGCCGTTTTCAATCACCGGTGTCTCCATATCCACTGAAAACTTCAAATTGCCCTGCAGAACAATTGGAAAGTGAAGGATTTGTTCATTCTGTCACTTAAAGGAATTGACATTGTCAGAGTTTTCAAACAGATGCAGTCCAAACTGAGACAAGTGATAACCCATTCCCAATTTTGCCAAAACATCATAGGAGATAGATTCCTCCTGTTCAGTACACTGTGTGTCAATAACATCTACATGTGAAAGACTTTGATGCTGAATTTTCACTGCATGCATGGTCATGCTTAATTTGTGCCATTTAAATTGGCTTCAGTTAATGAAGGGATAGGCAACTGACTTTTCAAACGTGGCAGACTACAACTTCCCTCACCATTACATATGCTTGTGATGAATGATGTATGCTACAGTTAAACAATATTTAGAGGGCTAGAGTTGCTCATCTTGTGATAATGAGTACTGATTCTTTTACAATCTCTTTTAAACTTGCTTCATTATTTGACAACAGTAAATTCTTTTTGTTCTGTGAGATGGCCTTAATGCATTTTTGTTTGTTTGTTTTCTTACTTCTTGGTGGCATGGAATTAAGTATTGTTTTCTAGAATGTTCCCCTTCTCCATTAATTTCTTTTGGCAAGCTGTTTTCATAGAATCATAGAATCAAAGAGTTGGAAGAGACCTCATGGGCCATCCAGTCCAACCCCCTGCCAAGAAGCAGGAATATTGTATTCAAATCACCCCTGACAGATGGCCATCCAGCCTCTGTTTAAAAGCTTCCAAAGAAGGAGCCTCCACCACACTCCGGGGCAGAGAGTTCCACTGCTGAATGGCTCTCACAGTCAGGAAGTTCTTCCTCATTCCTCAGATGGAATGTCCTTTCCTGTAGTTTGAAGCCATTGTTCCGCATCCTAGTCTCCAAGGAAGCAGAAAACAAGCTTGCTCCCTCCTCCCTGTGACTTCCTCTCACATATTTATACATGGCTACCATATCTCCTCTCAGCCTTCTCTTCTTCAGGCTAACCATGCCCAGCTCCTTAAGCCGCTCTTCATGGGGCTTGTTCTCCAGACCCTTGATCATTTTAGTCGCCCTCCTCTGTTTTGAGTGAATCCAAGGAGGGTACAGTATCTTCATTGAAATCTATGCTATTTCACTTCGAGGCCCTAGAACAAGGGTATCAAACTCATTTTCATCAAGCCTTATGGTTGCCTTCAAAGGGCCGTGGAATCCATGTATCACCAACTCCAATCAGCTCTAGTTGTAATGTCTGATGAAGAGGAATGCAGGAATTATAAAATGACATGGCGGACCAGATTTGGCGCTCAAACATTGAGTCTGACAAATGTGGCCTAGAAGAAGATACTTCTTCTTGTTGCTGTAGACATCTGGAAAGATCTGCTCTGTATACTTTTTTTTTTTTTTTGCAGAACAGCAGCTCTCCATAGCATGTTTGTTAGTTGCAGTAAGGCATACTAACTTGGATTAATATGTCATTAATACCGTCCAAATATTATATTCTGTTCTGACTCCATCAGTCACAATGGACTCCCTACAGCAGTGGTTCCCAATCATTTTTGACCAGGGACCACTTTGTCCAGGGACTACTCTCCAACATTAGTACCAAAAAGGCTACGAATCGGGTTTTGGTCACCTTTAGATTTGGTTTGGTTATTTCAATACAGAACAAATGCCACCCAGTAGTCACTGTCTGCTCTCCCACAGAAAACCATATTTAATAATCTAGAGCTGATGTGGTCTATCAAATGCAATTTTCTGAATCAGCACCCCAAATAGCCCCACAAACAGGCCTAAAAACAAAGACACCAAGGCGCCCCTCCTTCCAAGCTCCACATGAAATGGCTCCACTCAGGCAGAGGGAGGAGGAGGAGAAGCAGGAGTCAGGAGGCTTGTTGTCACACCTTTCATGGGTAGTCAGCCTCCCTCCTTCCGATATCACTGTTGCCTTGGCACTATAAGAAACTGTTCATATCCTCTTCCAGTCCTACAGTCATTCTCACTGCAACAGTGAAGTAACAGTGAGCTCGCAGGCTATATTTTAGCTGATCCTTACAGACAACCCAATGTTATATGAGTTCAATTTTAGAGGTACTCAAAAGCTTCCCTTATTCATATTCAACAGGGACAGTTGGAAGGAAGAATAACTGAAGCATTCTGTCTGTGTGTCTATCCCCTCCTCACACACAAACTAACATAATTCATCCATCTAGGATTGCCAAGTGAAAAAGGACAGGGTTTCTGTACATTAAACAGATGTGTATAACAGAATTTCAGCAAATACCGCTTATTTTAACATTTTATCTTGCATATTTGGCCCGCCCTTTGTGTTTGAATTTTATTATGTTATTTTGTACTGTTTATTTTATTTTGTTACATTATGCATTTTGTTGTGTTTAATTTTCTGTTGTTTTGTATCTTATTTTGCTCTATTATTTTTGGGTGTGGCCTCATGTTAGCCACCCCGAGTCCCCATTGGGGAGATGTTGGCAGGGTATAAAGTTTATCATCATCATCATCACAAACTTCATCTGCTAACATTCTCTCTTCTATAAAGGAGCCCTGTCTTATTTTTCCGCTGGAAATTTTCCAAACGGGACATGTCACCTTTCTGGAGAAACTGTTCATATTCTCTTCCAATCCTACAGTTTTGCCATTGCATCTCTCAAAGATCTCTTGTTGTTATTCTTGGTTATCCTTCAAATCAAGATAAAGACATACCAGCCACACTCCTGCCTCAACCAAACAGCAAAGAAAGCCAATTCTATATAGATGGTATCTCCCCACTTACCAAATGAAGAATGGCAGCAAGAATTTTGAAAACCGTCTGAATTTCTTCTGTTTCAAACCCAATTATTTTCATGGCATCAGAAACAGCTTTGAAATCAGCACTATCATTGATGGAACACTAAGAAAGAAGCAACAGCAAATGGGTCACCAAAATATACAGTATATCCTCATGTTTAAGTCAACGTCAGGTATAAACTGAGGGCATTTTTTAATCTGGAACTAGTGGTGGGCTGGATGAAATGAACGAACATACCATGTAATCTATCTAAGATAAACTGATGATGGTTAGGGACTAGAGGGATCAGGGAGCTACATCTGAAATACCTGCTATACCTTCTTCGGTAAGGACAAGCTATTTAACTTTGGTTCCAGTTCTCCTGGTTCCAGCACTGCTCCTAGAATTCTAGGTAGAAAATGCAGCCCAGTGAATCTTTTCTCAGGTTTTGTTTTTGATAAACATTTATGGAAGAGTAATGCCCCCTCCCTTTTTTTTGTCGTGTCAGGAACGACCTGGGAAACTGCAAGTCGCTTCTGGTGTGAGAGAATTGGCCGTCTTGAAGGACGTTGCCCAGGGGACGCCCAGATGATTTGATGTTTTATCATCCTTGTGGGAGGCTTCTCTCATGTCCCCACATGAGGAGCTGGAGCTGATAGAGGGAGCTCATCCGCCTCTCCCCGGATTCGAACCTGCGACCTGTCGGTCTCCAGTCCTGCCAGCACAGGGGTTTAACCCACTGAGCCACCGGGGGCTGGGTAATTCCCTGCCCATGCATCTATCATGCTGCAAAGAAGCTTTCAAACTTGACTCAGTTTTAAACATTTATATGTTTACAACAGGAGCCTCTGCTGAGCTGCTGAATTTGCTGAGCTGCTGAACTTGCTGAACTGAGCTGCTGAACTCGCTGACCAAAAGTTTGGTGGTTTGAATCCGGGGAGCAGGGAAAGTGCCCGTTGTTAGCCCAGCTTCTGCCAAGCTAGGAGTTCGAAAACATGCAAATGGAAGTAGATCAATAGGTACCGCTTCAGTGAGAAGGTAATGGCCCTCCTTACAGACATGCTGGCCAGATGACTTTGGAGGTGTCTACGGACAATGCTGGCTCTTCAGCTTAGAAATTGAAATGAGCACCACCTCCCAGAGTTGGACATGATTAGACTTAATGTCAAGGGGAAACCTTTACCTTTGCCTTATGCCTACAACAATTAAAGCGTGTATGAAGAAGCAACTATCCTATTATTATTATTATTATTATTATTATTATTATTATTATTATTATTATTGATTGACTGGTATTCCACCTTTCTTCCTGAATTGGGACTGAAGTCAGTTTACAGTTTAAAAGAGCAATACAATTAAAAACAAACAAAAAGTTAATACCAAACTAGAATTAAACTGGTCCCAATATTAAAACACTTCCAATCCCACTTATTAGAACTATGTTCACTGTTACTGTGAATACATAGCAGAGATGTTCTGCTAAACCACCTTAAGTGTTTTCCAGCATCATATTGTGGACAAATATAATCAATAGAGGAAGATTACCACCTGATTAATATATACCAATGGAAATACTTCATAAACTATATTGCGCATTTTCATCAGCAGTCCTTTTTAAAGCTGGATTTAAAAATACATAAGACACAATAAGTTGGCTTCACTGCATAAGTACTTCTAAAACCCTAACCCTGGCATGGTAAGTTAGTTCTTTCATAACTGAAGAGTATTAAGAAGGGGCATGAGAGAAGCCTCCCACAAGGATGATAAAAACATCAAATCATCCAGGCGTCCCCTGGGCAACGTCCTTGCAGACGGCCAATTCTCTCACACCAGAAGCAACTTGCAATTTCTCAAGTCACTCCTGACATGACAAAAAAAAATAAGAAGGGAAAAGAGATTTCTTCAGATAACCCTCACCTTTAATTGTCCATAAGCACTAATATAGTTATATGCAGACAAATCCTTCTGTAGATGTAAAGAACGCAGGAGCTGCTCAGAACCTCCTCGGAGTAGCTGTAAAATTAAGACAGACAGTTATCCAAATAAATCTGTATCACTTTTCATCACCATTTATAAAATGACTAGCTTGGGTACCTGGCGTTGCACGGGTTATTTGAAAAAGTCATTTTTTTTATTTTACAAAATGCATAAGGTTGTGGGTAAACTACAGCTCACATCATGCCAGGTTAACCCCCTGAAACTTCATCAGTAGTTAAAGTTTGTCATGTTGGGCAAGTTTGCTCCAGATGCAGCATTGGTGGAATCTCTGGTTACAGGATAAACTACAGCTCAGTCCCCACAAAATCCTCCAGTAAGTTCAGTTGGTCATGGGGGTTCTGTGTGACAAGTTAGGTCCAGGGTCATCATACTCTATGACTGCAGGTGAACTATAAATCCCAGTACTGACAACAGCTATACATCAAGGTGAATTCTCCCCAAACCTCTCCAGTATTTTTTGTTGGTCATGGGGATTCTGTGTGCCAAATGTGGTCCAGGTCCATTGTCAGTGGGAGTCACAGTGCTCTGACTTGATGTAGGGTGAACTACAACTTCCATCATGTGGAGTCAATTTCCCAAATTCCTCCAGTATGTGTAGTTGCTGATTAGTTCTACTGTTTGTTGTGCAGATAGAGTTTAAAAGAGTAGGAAATGGTTAAGGGAGAAGCAGTAGGTGGGATTGTGCAAATTCTACACCAATTGAGAGAGTAAGAAACACTGGGATGTCTGTGGCGGAGGCAACACATAAAATCTAGGATAAAATTGTCCCCGAATGAAAGCATTCCTTGGGTGGTGGGCACGATGGTATTTGTGGCAGGGGTTGGGCAACATGTTAATTATTATATTATTTATTATTTATATATATATATAAATTATTTATAAATATATACAAATATATAAAATACTATAATATTATTTATAATATTACAATGTAATGCAATATAATACTAATAATAATATGATATTATAATTATATATTTATATTACATGTAATATTACTCAAAATATTACAATATAATGGTATAGTACAATATAGTAATATTTAATACTGATATTGTACTATGCTAATAAAATAATATATTGTATGTATATATATCTTGTAAGCCGCTCTGAGTCCCCTTCGGGGGCATATAAATGTCGTAAATACATAAATAAATAAATAAATGTTCATGGTGCTCACTATAACCTGAAATGTCATTGAAGGAAGGACTTTTGGTGGCTCCTCAGCACTGTAGGTTAAAGCTGTTTGTGGAAGTGGGAGCCTTTCTGTAGAAGTGGGCACCCCAGCCACATCCACCCATACAAATTTCCATTTTTATTCATGGGATAAAAGAGGAAAAGGGGATAGGGAAGGAACGTGAAGCAAGCACTGGAGCAGCTATTCCCTCAATATCCAAGCTACACCCTTTCCATTGGTATGATGTTCTTTCTGGGAGGCCAGTTTCCCAGTGAAATACAGTTCTTGCCAAATACCATGGAATCAGCAACACCCAATGACTTTACTGATACTTCCTCAGCCTTTAGGGTGTTCCACCTGGAATTTCCCACAAGAAAACTCCAGCTTTTCCTCCCTGCTCTGGCCTCCCATGATCAAAGATGGGATTTTGAGTGGGATGATTTTCTCACTCAGTGTTAGCCTTGAAACCATGGCTTAGTTTTCGTATCACATTCCAAAACTCACAATCATATTTGAACTTATGAATATATCTCTCCGGCCACAATACATAGATAGTCATCCCAGGGTCATAACAAAGTGTCCACATTTGAACACATTTGAAACAGTGATATGCAAACATGCACACACTCCCTACAGTTTTAAAATATTTTGAAAAGAAGTAAAAAAAGGATGAAGATATAGTTAGGCATTCAATGAGCCAAGCTGCAGCAAAGTCCCCCTGCTTCCTCAATATGTCTAGGTAGAGATGCTTTAGCAAGGGCAGGAAACGGCAATAGGGGACACCACAGAAACACTTTCCAATTGGACCTTGTTATACATGTTGTCATTTTGAAAAAGACTACCCTAAGGGGCTACTTCTGATTCAGCGGAGTCCAGGACAGGCATCTAGTTACCATAATTGCTTACAGGCACTGAAACCATGAAGCAGAGAGAAATTATTTCCATCTGTATGTTAGAACCAGCATGACCTCCCCCTACACCAAAACCAAAACAAGGCAAAAACCCCAAAATAACTATGAGGGTTGAATGAAAAGTAATGCCTCCACCTTCGTAACTCCTCAACACATGGCAGTACTGGTATGCGGCAGGTACTGGCTTACTCAGTAGACTCTCCTCTACAGTTCCATTTTGGCGGAAATGCCTAAGCATTGAACAGTTGTGTTGTTAAAGTGTGAAGTATGGAACCCTGCACAGGCCGTCGGTCAATGTGACTTAAGCAACGTGCAGTCACTGAATTCTTGACAGCAGAAGGTGTCACCCCAAAGGAGATTTAAACTGTTTATGGTGATTGTGTTGATGTGAGTACTGTGCATCGTTGGGTGAGTAAGTTTAAAGATGTTGAGGTGGGAACATCTGACTTGCGTGACAAACAAAGAGTTGGACATCCTGTGACAGCAACCACCAGTTTCACAAGCAAAAGGTTGACAGATTGATTCAGGATGATCGTCGTATCATTCAGAGAGAAATTTCAAGCATAATCGGCATTTCACAGGAACTGTTCCCGATAATGAAAAAAGATCCGTGGGAAGATCATTATGCTTCTTATGAAGACGTTGAGAGAACTGTGAGACACTGGTTGCAGAAACAGACTGTCAACTGTATTGTCGAAGGCTTTCATGGCCGGAAATCACTGGGTTGTTGTAGGTTTTTTTGGGCTATATGGCCATGTTCTAGAGGCATTCTCTCCTGACGTTTCGCCTGCATCTATGGCAAGCATCCTCAGATGCTTGCCATAGATGTAGGCGAAACATCAGGAGAAATGCCTCTAGAACATGGTCATATAGCCCGAAAAAACCTACAACAACCCAGTGTCAACTTCTTCCATGATGGCTTCAGAAAACTTGTTCTTTGTTTGCAGAAATTTATCCAATTGTCTGGTGATTATGTGTAAAAGTGAATAGTGGTAGTTAAAGAAGCACATTCTAAGGATTATTTCTGCATTTGGTTTATTAAAATATTCCCATCCAAACCCAAGTAACGAAGGTGGAGGCATTACTTTTCATTCAACCCTTGTAGCATTCTGTCTCGATGAAGCCTGGCTGGACCTGTAAGTTCCCCTCTATGGCAACCAGAAGCATGACTAGTATAAGTAAATATTACATCTTAAACAAGCAAAGCATGGATTTGGAAACAAAGAAGGAGGTATGACCTCAGAATTAATAAGACATCGAAGCAGAAATATTGCAAATAACAACCAGTGCAACTCTCTTCTTCAGAGGTGATCGTAAACAAAGGTTCCTTGATTCAGAATGCTGAACGAAGAACAGCTCACCTGGTAGAAGGAATGAAAACTCCGCTCTCCTGGCTGCTGGACAATTACCCGTGACTGGAGAGAAAAGAAAAAGAAGATGAAAAACCTTACAGAAAGTTTTTCTCTCAAGAGAAATAACATCAGTAATGTCTAAGCAAGATTTTGGTGGGCTCAGGATAGAACTCCAGAAGAGAGAGGTGGAGAATATTTTGTTCTTTAGATGATTTGGGCCCATTCTACACTGCCATACAATCCAGATTATTAAAACAGATATCCATATTGTCTTCTTTGAAGCAGTTAATCTGGATTTTATATGGTATTGTAGAAGAGGCCTTAAATGGTAAGGAATAGTGGAAGCTTTAGCCCCAAAGATCTGAAAGGCCAGAGGTTCCTGAGCCTTGCTTTGCATTAATTCAAATATTCGATCAGCCTTACCTAAAAATCTTGCCTATTTGTAACAACAAAACTTTTAAGCGGTGGAATGTTTACCTGTCCGAACATACTCTCCCCTATGAACCATCAAGGACATTAAGATCTTCCGGAGAGGTCCTGCTCTCGGTCCCACCACCTTCGCAAGCGCATTTGGTGGGAACGAGAGACAGAGCCTTCTCTGTGGTGGCCCCTCGGCTATGGAACTCTCTCCTGAGCGAGACTAGATCTGCCTCCTTCCTCTTGTCCTTCAGGGGGCTAGTGAAATCCTGGTTATGGAACAAAGCATTCCCACAATAATGGCTGAAACTGATTACAGACCAAAGTGAGTGACCACATATGCAGACTGAATTGAACATGATTTTACCTTGGCGATTTGGTATATATGTATTTTATCTATATGTATTTGAATCTTGTATTGTTGTATGATGTTTTAACTTGTATTAGTAGCACTGAATCCTTGCTGTAAGCCGGTCTGAGTCCCTCTACGGAGGTGAGAAGATCGGAATATAAAAGTTTTAAATAAATAAATAAATGTTGGAAATGACAACCTTCTTCAAGCCTTCGCTAGTAATGTTTATCTATGATCCTGTTGCTTCCTACTTCCTGTATGTATGTTCTGGTATGCAGCTTACTTTACTCTATGGTTCCTGAGAAGCTATAAAAGGCCACATGATCACTATAGCAGACAGACAGATACACTACTACTTCAGACCTCAGATCACACACTTGCTTGCTGTTTTTGCTGTAAGAACTGTTCTGGCTGGATGGAGAGAATAATCTCAAACGTATCTGAAACTGGACTGATAAGTTTTGTACCTGTGTATGCTGAACAAATAAAGGTTGTGAATAAACCAAATATGTTATTTATCAAAGTCTACTTCATTTTTGTCTCTTAAGTGCATGATATAAAACAAGTTGTGGGTTGTTGTAGGTTTTTCCGGGCTATATGGCCATGTTCTAGAGGCAATTTTTCTCCTGCCTCCAAAACATGGCCATATAGCCCGGAAAAACCTACAACAACCCATGGATTCCGGCCATGAAAGCCTTCGACAATAAAACAAGTTGTTTTATGGGCGAGTATATATATATATTTGGGCACTTCTGGAGCACTGCAGTTTTTATGCACTGGCAAAACCTCTGTTTTCCTAACAGATCAGAGATAACAGGTTATTCAGTCTAACAAATGAAACCACTGCCCAGCATAATTATATTTGGTTGTATACCACAAGAAAATATTCTAATATAAAGGGTTTTTGGCTCTTCTCTAAAAGGTCATGCTTTTCTACACTCAGAGGTAATTTGGACAATTCCTTCCTCTGAAACACAGCCTACAGCACCATTTATTTGTTTGTGGTCTTCCATCCAAATACTAAGCAGATCTGACCTTGCTTAGCTTTAACACGAACTGAGATCTGGTGACTTTGGGGTATTTAAGGCCCTTTTTAAACAAAAAATAGGCCCTATTACAAGGTGTTGGAGGAAAGTTCTGAAAGTGCCTTGGACTGCCAGAAGATCCAACCAGTCCATACTATTACAGGATGTGCATATGTATGCTAAGTTTTTACAAGGATCATTGCCTGTATGGGTGCGTGTTGAGGAAAAACACCTGGACAATTAAGCAATTAAGCTTGAGCCACTCCCTGCATGGAGTATATTCATGAGGAGTGTTTCCTAGTGTATTCAGAGGTGGTGATCAGATGATCAGGAAGAGACCGGATGGGACTTCTATACTACAGGACTTGCTGAAGATCCTGAACAATTTACTATAAGATTTCTTGCACCAATGAAGAAGCAGAGAATGCATGATTTTAATGCATTGGACTTTTGTGTGAGTTATTTTGCTGCAATGGACTAAGTTTATTTTCAAGGCTGGTTATTTTGTAAAGATGCATATTTATCTCTGACTACTCAAGAATAAATTTTGTTTTTCCTTTTACTCTGACTGTGTGATTCAACTAGAGGGCTGGAGCTGGAAAGACTACTGGATAGTTTCCGCATAGACTGATAAACCGCAACACATACTTCAGGAAATAAAGCCCGACTGCTCATTGGAGGGAAGGATAGTAGAGGCAAAAATGAAGTACTTTGGCCACATCATGAGAAGAAAGGAAAGCTTAGAGAAGACAATTATGCTGAGGAAAATGGATGAAAAAAGGAAGAGGGGCCGAGTAAGGGCAAGATGGATGGATGGCATCCTTGAAGTGAGTGGATTAATCTTGAAGGAGCTGGGGGTGGTGACGGCTGACAGGGAGCTCTGGCGTGGACTGGTCAATGAGGTCACAGAGAGTCAGAAATGACTGAACGAATGAACAACAACACAAGATGCCATCTTAAATGCTATCTAGACCAAAACTGTCTAGTTTTGTTGGTGTGCAGAGGCCTATTCACCCACATTTCAGCACAGTGTTCAGCACTATAATTTCTCAAACTACTTGGTACAAGGAACCTAAGCTGCAATAACACTTTGTAATTACAGTTGAAATCAGCAGGTGCACACAGCCACATAAAGCTTTGAGGTAAAGTGAGACAGAATGCTTGCTCCCAAATTACTGGGCATTTTAGAGCAACAATAAGACTAAGAAAAGTGGGCAAGGCACCACCAAATTAAAAGTAGATTATTAGCATTGAGGTAACCCAAGAGTTCAAAATTCTTTCTAAATATGAGTATTCTTTTCCAAACCAAGTAAGTGCACTGTAAAGATATGGCAGGCTTACCAAACAAAAAAATTAACAGCTTTTTTGCAAGTCTTACATTGTTTGCGTGGTGGGAAACCAAATTCAGAAAAAGAATAGGTCAGTTATTATAGCTCTATGCCGAACCATTCTGTGTCACCGTGACTCATTAAACATTGATAGTTATGACTACTCCACCAATGACTCTGGCAGAGCAGGAAGAAAAAAATATGCATTTTATAAAGAAGCTTCACAGATGCATTAAAACAAACTAATAAACAAACACCAGATGTGGTCACAGAGATATACACAAAACCTAGTCAGGTCTTATGGTCATGCAGAGGAAATAGACCCATCATCTCTTCAATTTAAGTGAACATCAACTCACTGAAAATATAATAAAAACTTATCTTACAGACTGCCACAAAATATTTTATTTTAAAACCATGGCATCTGCTGTGAGTTTATTTAGTGGAGAGCTCACACGCTAAAGCTAATTCTTTGTGGGGTGGATGACGGGGGGAGGGAGGATGTCTTTTGGGAAGAAGGCATGTTCTTATCCCACCCAGAAGCTCTCTTCAGTTTTGTAACTCAACTCCAGATGCATGCCATATAGTTCACTTCTCAATTATTGTAAAACAAAAGCATTTGCATGGCAACACTTTCTTACCTTTTCTAGCAAATAATTATTGATGTGCCCACCTATTGGGTCTCCTTTGAAATCAAAGTTGATATCCATATATTTTCCAAATCGGCTGGAGTTGTCATTGCGGTTAGTTTTGGCATTCCCAAAGGCCTCTAGAACACAGTTGGATTTCAGCAGCATGTTCTTCACCCTTTAACGAACAGACATGCATAAAAACCAAAAGAACAGGAAACCGGGTCTAGACGTTATGTATTGCTAAGCTTGCATAACAAATGTTTTATAAGCAAATAGCAGAATTACCACAGGATTAAGCAGGCTGAGCTCATATGAGGTGCACCATGCAGGACTGAAAATCCTGGCTCTAAAATTAGCTTGCAAACTATAACAATTGAATTATGTTCAGAAACAATGCCATGAAGGACTAACTGTGCCCCACCTGGCTGTAGCAACCTGTTGCTGAAACTTCCAGTATGGAGAGTCCATAAACCATGCAACATCACAAACTTTGTCATGTTTATGCCTGTGCTGGTACGGCTGTACCAGGAGCTCCAACTTTATTTTCTTTCTGTTATCTATTTTGCAGTCATAGGACAGGCCTCCTGACCATCATAATTAAGCTTTGGTTCCGCCCCTTGTTCTGGGCTCTGGGAGGGAAAGGAGCCATTTTTTGGGCAGTCTCACACAAGCTAGCTAAGCTATAGGATGTGGACCAGCTCGTCCCATAGCAAAGCTTCCTTTCTCAAGAGCATCCAGGGGAACTTAACCATCCAGGGAAAAGGTAACATCCGGGGATACAGAAACAGAAATTCCAGGAGAAAGGTCCCAAAAAGCCCTGGCTGAGAGCTCACAGCCTCTCAGCATCAGAGGGAACAGCCCTGAAGTTTCTAAGAATTCTCGAAGGGAGAACAGCATTACAGATCCACGGAACTCCAGCTGAAATATCTTCAAGCCTCGCTGGTAGGCCTACTCAATACCCAGATGCATTTGGGATCAGTAGTAGGTCCCACACCGATGAGGCATAGATAGAAAGCAGTCTGGGAGAGGTTAAAAAGGGTTTTTCCTACAGAGAAAGTTTAGTTAATCAAAGTCAGGTACCAGTCCATTGAGGACTAGACTAAGAAAGCCTTGAAGTGTTGTTTGAACCATTGAAGATTTGTTGTTTGTTCCATAATAAAGACTTTGTTGCATCATCAAAGACTCTAAAGACCATCACTTCAGAAAAATCCCTGAGAACCTCTCTTTGAGGCACCCCTGGCTTCCTGCTGGGCTTAAAGTATACGTCCTATAGAAAAGTACAGCTGTTACAGGTCCAGCGCACGACAGAACAATGCCTCTTCCTCCAAATCCATGGATGCCTCACCTTTCAACCTCAGCTCTTTGGCTTGGATTAGTAATGGCAGCTATGTATTGCATGGATGCCTCACCTTTCAACCTCAGCTCTTTGGCTTGGATTAGTAATGGCAGCTATGTATTGCATGATGTATTTACTTGCTTCTGTTTTGCCTGCTCCGCTCTCACCTGTATGGAAAGAAAGCGGAAAGGGAGCATAAGGGAAACATAAACTAACATGCTTCTATAGTTATAAACAGGTCGCACAAATCAGACCCCAATCTTTGACAATTGCCTGCACCTGTTGTAGACAGTGCTGAGTTAGTTGGCTGTACATTTTTGCAGAGCTAAAAATGGATTGAAAAAGGAAAAATTTTAATTGTGATATGTTGGAAATAGCAACCTTCTACGAGCCACCTATACTAATTATTTGTTACTAGCTGTCCCCTGCCATGCGTTGCTGTGGCCCAGTGTGGTATCTGGAAAATAAAGTAATGAGAAAGTATTGGTTTCTAATATATGTAATTTCTTTATGCTTGTGGATAAACAGTATTTCTTGCTGTTTCTTTGTCAGTGTTTATGTGGAGATTGTCTGGTTTGCCCACCCTGGAACATGCAACATATCATTGTCCTTCTTTAAAGGTCCCTTTCAAATCTATGATACTATATCTGTGTGTATGTGAATAATATCTATCTATATCTATGGCTGGATGGCTCTTTGTCAGGAGGGCATTGATTACGTTTTCTTGCCCTCATGAAGAAGAGAGTTGGACTGGATGGCCTTAAGAATTTTATGTGGTCATGGGGGTTCTGTGTGGGAAGTTTGCCCCAATTCTGTCATTCGCGGGGTTCAGAATGCTCTTTGATGTAGGTGTGCTATAAATCTCAGTAACTACAATTCCCTAATATCAAGGTCTATTTTCCCCAAACTCCATCTGAGCTCATATTTGTGCATATGGAATATTCATGCCAAGTTTGGTCCAAATCCATCATTGTTTGAGTCCACAGTGGTCTCTGGATGTAAGTGAACTACAACTCCCAAACTCAAGGTCAATGCCCACCAATCCCTTCTCTTGTTTTCTGTTGATCATGGGAGTCCTGTGTGCCAAGTTCTGGTTCAATTCCATCATTGGTGGAGTTCAGAATGCTCTTTGATTGAAGGTTAACTATAAATCCCAGCAACCACAACTCCCAAATGACAAAATCAGGTTTTTTTTAATGATGGTCACTTCTTGGGTTAGTAGGTGTCTTGTGTCCAAATTTGGCAGCAATTCATCCAGTGGTTTTTGACTTATGTTAATCCCACAAACAAACATTACATTTTTATTTATATAGATGTATATAATTCAGATTGCTTACTATATTATTTATTATTTATTTTATTTAAAACATTTATATTCTGCCCTTCTCACTCCGAAGGGGACTCAGGGTGGAGCAGTTCAGCAGTGGAACTCTCTGCCTCGGAGTGTGGTGAAGGCTCCTTCTTTGGAAGCTTTTAAACAGAGGCTGGATGCCCATCTGTCAGGGGTGATTTGAATGCAATATTCCTGCTTCTTGGCAGGGGGTTGGACTGGATGGCCCATGAGGTCTCTTCCAACTCTTTGATTCTATGATTCTAGTAAATACATAAATAAATAAATTTTATACTGCAGCCCATCACTAGAAGTCCGACAGCAGCTACTTCCTTTTCTTCAGGTTTCAAATCACCTTTAAGAATATTCTTTGGGTGAAAACAGACAATGTTGTCAACATACCTGATATTACAATGCATGTATCTTTTGACCGTCTCTTCATGGCTTTGTATGCAGCATCTGCAATAGCGAAGAGGTGAGGGGGCCTCTCATACAGCTCCCGCCCCTTGTACTGCTCAATCATTTCACGCCCATAGATATTCAAGTTCTTATAAGGGTTTACAGAAACGACGACTTCCCCAATGAAAGTGTAGATTCGTCCCTTTTCAAACCTATGTGGATCAAGATAAAAATGGGGGGGGGGGTTAAAAAGGTGCATGACTGCTTCCATATATCAACTCAAGTCAATATTTCACTGAAAACCATAGGTATACAATGTTCCATCTTTCCTCCTATAATGAGATCTAAAGTAGGTCATGGAAAACACAAGCACAATTATGTTACAATTTTAAGGTACAATCAAACATACTCATATGGAAATACCAGCCAAATTAAAAGCAACTTATGCATAGGAGAGGTACACTTCCATTAAAACCCCTTTGTCAACAGTCAAAAATGGCTACTTGATAATAAGTTCTTTGCCTTCCTAATCTAAAATTTGGAATTAGGCCTCCTGAAAAACAATATTTATCGTAATGAAAAAGGTTCTGGCCTCCCAGACAAAATTTAAATCATCAAAGTATGTAGGTCTCATTAATTTTGGTGACAACCTACTTAATCTGGATTACTTGTCTAAGTTCCTCATACCACCTTTTATTGTCCTGGAAAATCTTCCGGAAGTACATTTAGCCAGTGGTAATGCCTCTGGAGACAACAAAGTAGGCAGCAACCCAAATAGATAGCAAATGTTTTTTCCACATCAAAACATTAAATATCCATAGGGAAACTATGTGAAAAAGGTATTCGCTCTTTGACATGTTGCTCCAAAAAGCTATGCAATAAAATCATCACACACAAAAAACAGTCTTAGAAAATAGATCTTGACTTGTACTGAAGCCTTTGAAGGTGATAGTTTGCTGGTGTTAATATATTTCAAGAACCTCCCATATAATCATTGTGTGTGGGCCACCTTTATGAATCTCTGTTAGGGAGGGCTCCTCCAGGCTATTTATTTCAGGGATTCTGAAGTAGCACCAGAGAACTGTTCTTCATTGCTTTTTGAAGCACCGGTAGGTGCAAAATAAATTTCCCAGCTCAAGAGAAGTTTGTGGGGTGGGGGTGCTACAAAGCTTTAGAACAGGGGTCACCAAACTAAGGTCTGTGGGCCAGATGTGGCCCTCCAAGGTCATTTACCCAGCTCCCACCCTAATCTTTAAACTTAGGGTCGCTTTATGTCAGTGTTTCTCAACCTAGGGGTTGGGACCCCTGGAAGGGTCGTGAGGGGGTGTCAGAGGGGTCACCAAAGACCATCAGAAAACAGTACTTTCTGTTGGTCATAGGGGTTCTGTGTGGGAAGTTTGGCCCAATTCTAACCTTGGTGGGGTTCGGAATGTTCTTTGATTGTAGGTGAACTATACATCCCAGCAACTACAACTCCTCAATGTCAAATCTATTTTCCCCAAACTCCACCAGAGTTCACATTTGGACATATTGATTTTCATGCCAAGTTTGGTCCACATCCATCATTGTTTTGAGTCCACAGTGCTCTCGGGATGTAGGTGAACTACAACTCCGAAACTCAAGGTCAATGCCTACCAAACCTTTTCAGTATTTTCTGTTGCTCATGGGAGTTCTGTGTGCCAAGTTTGGTTCAATTCTATCATTGGTGGAGTTCAGAATGCTCTTTGACTGTAGGTGAACTATAAATCCCAGCAACTACAACTCCCAAATGACAAAATCAATTTTTTGAGTGATGGTCACTCCTTGGGTTAGTAGATGTCTTGTGTCCAAATTTGGTGTCAATTCATCCAGTGGTTTTTGAGTTATGTTAATCCCACAAACGAACAAAATCAATCCATCCGCAATCCCACCGATATTCGAATTAGGGCATATTGGGTCTTTGTGCCAAATTTGGTCCAGTGAATGAAAATACATCCTGCGTATCAGATATTTACATTACGCTTCATAACAGTTGCAAAATTACAGTTGTGAAGTAGTAATGAAAATAATTTTATGGTTGGGGGTCACCACAACATGAGGAACTGTCGTAATGGGTCGTGGGATTAGAAAGGTTGAGAACCACTGCTCTAAGTCTTAAACAACTTCAGGCCACACGACGACAACAATCCGAAATAACTTGACTATCTTATCAGCCAAAAGCAGGCCAATACTTCCCATTGTAATACTAAGAAGTTTATTTTGGTTAAAACTGTTAAATACTGCATTGTTCTTCTATTTTTTATTTTTTGCAGTACAAGTAAGACACATGCAGCGTGCGCACTTTTAGGACTGCATGGGGATTATAATGGACCATTAAATGAAGACTCTTTTAAGGTTATACACCTTTCAACACTTTTCAAGGCTCAGAAGCAACTGATCTCTTTGTTTGCACAAGATAACCTAAAATCATTTCCTCCATCGCCACTCCTGCCCTCCCCTCTCCAGCTTCTTTATACCAACTTTCCTTTTCAACCTATTAATAGCTTAGCTTCAGCAACCTATTAATAGCTCTTCACCACTAGGTGGGACCAGTATACTTTCTAATCTGCTCTGCAGAGCTTGATGATAGACTAAGCACAGATCTGTCTCTTAGACACCATGCCATGCACATAACCGCACAGCAGGATATGACCAATCATTTTCCATTGCTCTATTTGAAATGCAATATCCAACCAATTGTGCAGAAATGATCATAGGTCACTCCTTGTTCAGCTCCACTGTTGCTGCATATTGATTCTACATAGGTGTCTGTGTTTGTAAAACAGCCTGATACTAAAATTCATCAGAGGTTTCTAGAAGAGTTCAGCACTTAACAGTTTTTACAAGCTATGACATACATGCTATGGTATCACCCAGGTTTTATACATATACATAGGTAAAGGTAAAGGTTTTCCCCTAACATTAAGTCTAGTCGTGTCTGACTCTGGGGGGTGGTGCTCATCTCCATTTCTAAGCCAAAGAGCCGGTGTTGTCCATAGATGCCTCCTAGATCATGTAGCCAACATGACTGCATGGAGCACCGTTACCTTCCCACTGAAGTGATACCTATTGATCTACTCACATTTGCATGTTTTCCAACTGCTAGGTTGGCAAAATCTGGGGCTAACAGCAGGAGCTCACCGCACTCTCTGGATTTGAACCACTGACCTTTTGGTCAGCAAGTTCAGCAGCTCAGAGGTTTAACCTGCTGTGCCACTGGGGGCTCCATACATATACAAATACATAAGAGAGAGGGGGGGGGAGAGGGAGGGAGAACACATTCTATAGTCTTTTATCAAATGGCACTAACAGCACAAGCTGGTTCATAGTTTATTATTATTATTATTATTATTATTATTATTATTATTATTATTGTGATGGTTATCAGCAACAAACTTCTGATGTGCTCTGTTATCAAACTTGTGCGCCAGCTGCGACCATACCTCGTGAAGTCTGACTTGGCCAGGGTGGTTCATGCCTTAGTTACATCCAAACTGGACTATTGCAATGCACTCTACATGGGGCTGCCCTTGAAGAATGCCCGGAAATTTGAACTGGTACAACGGGCGGCAGCCAGGCTCCTTACTGGAGCAAACTATAGGGAGCATACAACACCCCTATTAAAACAGCTTCGTTGTCTGCTGATAAGTTGCCGAGCCAAATTCAAGGTGCAGATCATGACCTATAAAGTCCTAAACGGTTCTGGCCCTGCGATCTCCGCGATCGCATCTCCTTCTATGAACTGGCACAAGCTCTAAGATCTTCCGGGGAGGCCCTCTTCTCGGTCCCACTACCATCTTAAGCGCAGTTGGTGGGGACGAGAGAGAAGGCCTTCTCAATGGTGGCTCTCCACCTCTGGAACGCCCTTCCAAGGGAAATAAGACAGGCCCCATCCCTCCCCTCATTTTGTAAGAGCTTGAAGACCTGGTGGTTTCAACAAACCTTTGAAAATGACCAGTTCTAACTAAGCCCTACACATTGTCGAATAGGCCTTATTCTTCCTACCAATTACCCAGATCACCCACAGGCCCGTACCTAATATTATTGTTGCCTGCCATAGCATTGAACTTAATTTCCGTGCCTCCTAGAATTTTTGGGCTTGCACAAATCTTGGCCTGGCCTTTTAAATTTTTAAATTGCCTTGAACAAGCAGGATTACTTTTAATATATGTGTGTTATGGTGACAATTTTTTATGCTTATATTTTCTTTTGTTAATCTCATGGTTATGTTGTTTTTACTTTGTATGCTTTTGTGATGTTACCTGGGAACCGCTCTGAGTCCGCTCGGGGAGATGGAGCGGTATATAAATAAAGTATTATTGTTATTATTATTAATAATATTAATATTTCACTGAAGCACAACCAATTTGATGGAAGAGGAGGAAGAGGTCAGCATGCTCTAATCTCATATAATTATTATTATTTGTATTATGATTTATGATATTTTATTGATTCTAAGCTGCCATCAGTTGTAAGACTACTTTCAGTATCTCTCTCTCTCAGACACACACACGCACACACACATATACACACCCCAACAATTCCAAGACGCCTCTCATGTTTATATGGGAGGAAATTTCATCTTAGAATTGAGGAAATATAGTATTATTATATATCCTATTTACTTAAATCTAATGTTCACCTTTTTTGGATAAATGACCTCGCCAAAATGAGGGTGCACAGTCGATTTGTGTCACACAGTATTTTTACTGCTGAGCCAAAGGGGAGGCTTCTTCAAGAGCACCTGGAGCTGCTTTTGAAGGACTTATTCTCTAATTTAATGGCTATGGCTCAATGTTATAAATGCAATTTTTTTTCATAAAGATCAAGTAGACAGAACATATTGTAAAGAACAAAAATCACTTTCCGGCCTTGCATCACACATTTTAGTGCAAATATTAAGACACAAATAGTGTTCAATTCAGCAAGTATTCTACTGTAACGGATTATTGGCTCTTCTCTGAAAGGTCATGCTTTTCTAAAAAGTTATAGTCTCCAAAAGTTGTTTTTCCAAAAGGTTTTAAATGCCATGTTCCAAGACCCATGATTCTATAGCATTGAACCAAACCAATTAAAGTGGATTCATTCTACAGAGTGAGGCAGCATAACTTCCTTTTTTTAAATTCGCACCATTCAGTCGGTGGAAGACGTAGCGGAGCGCTAGTGGTCTTGTTCGAGAGGCAGGAGTATAAAA